AGTTTCACCACATTTTACAAGTTGGCCATGCCCACCCAGCCACATGACTGCCAAGCCACTCCCACTCAATCACATGGCTAGAAAGCCATTCCCACCTGGTCACATGGCCGGCGAGCCACTCCCACAAAGCAGGCCACATCTACAGAAGAGGTTCTAAAAAATTTTGAAACCTACCACTGGGCTGTAGTCATGTGTTTATTTAGAAATTGTCTTTAATCTTCCCAAAGGACGCAAGAAAATTGGAAGGGAAATGAAAGTGGACAGCAAAATCTTCATCAGGTTTGTCGCCTGAAATTTGGGGGACACCTGACCTAATAAACTTTTCAGCCTAGTTCAAAGTTACATATTCAGTTAATAACATACCTGGAAAATATGGAATTCTTTTCCCATCCAGCCTGTAAGCCACACCAATTTTGATTTCATCAAGGACATCCAGAATATCAAGTTTTGTTAATGCCAAACTGCCCAGAAAATATTAGATAGATATTAGTCTCATTCAACATCTCATTCAATCCTCATTCTACCTGTTTTTTTTTAAGTTTATGGGATATCCCAACAGCATGAACTGTTCTGAAGTAATCACACACAAAAAAGGTAACAACCAGATAAAGTTTAAATTAATACACATGTTAAGAAGCATTTTAAATACTCAGGTCTGTATCACACAGTAAATTTTAGCTACATACAAATGATGAGAATTTAGGTATGGCACTTAAGAATTAAATGTTCCATATTTTAAAAACTTGTGCACAGTGTGGATGGTTATATTTTTTTCAAGTAAGAGCAATCCACAGATATCAAACTTATTTTTTTAAGCTTCAAGAATTCAGAACCTACTACGTTCAGAGCAATTTACAGGCCAATCACATATATCACTTGGCCTGCCTTTAATTCCATTAATTTTAGTTTGTGCTGATCGACATTCCACATCAGTCAGAATTTAAAATAAACACTCTGTATCTCCTTCCTGATATATTTCAGATTGCAAGACCAAACAATGATGCAAAACTTTATGATGAGGCAGAAATAGCAAGTATGTACCATGTAAATATCATTTTCTATTTCCTGCTTTTTTCTGGTTTACAGCCCCTACAATGACTGCTGTTTATTGTACAGTACTATTGACCCAAGACGTTCGAGCCCACTGAAATTTTATTTTCTTTGGGATAAAGTGCTACTGTTTCTTATCAAAATATAAAACATAATTTTGCTAGACTAATTATAACGTTACCTACATATTTGTACTCCACCGGGTTAAAAGTTATGAGTTCCAAGTGTAGGTCAAAATCTGTGATGCTTACGCAGTAAAGCCATTGATCATATGAGCATATCTCAAAATGACAAGGTCTAGCCAGCCGCAACGTCTTTTCCTGCCTGTAGTCACACCCCATTCATGACCTCGTGACTGTAAAAGGTCTCCAATTTCCTACCAGAGACAAAGATACCCAGAAGATTGGAACAGTAGTCATAGCCAAGTGTCAAAAGCCACTAGTAAATGAACTATTGTCATGTCAAAAATGCATGTTTTTTTTAAAATCATTTGGAAGACAAAAGATGTTTAACATGGCACACTAAGTCAAACAATTTTCCAAACTCCCCAAAAGGCAGTTTTTTTCTTCATTTAGCATTAATCAGGGTTGGATTCACATTCCAAGCTGGTAAATTATGGTTGGCGTTTAGCCCTAAATTCAGACTTAGAAACTTATTCAAAATTACCATTGATGTATTGTAATAATTGTAGATTATAGCATATGTAAATGTATATATCAAAGCATTAAATATATTCATGAAAGAAAGATATGTAAGAAAGCAGAAAAGAATGCAAAATCTAATCCTCATTTGTCATTGAAATCATACTTTGGATTTAGAGTATTCTGTATTTTTAATTCAATCCTAAATGCAGAATTTGGGGTGCAGTTCTTTGATGCTTATTCCACCCCCACCCCCCCAATAGTCTATTTATTGATTAAATCTGTGTGCAATATGACTCTGGATTACTTTACTATATTACTTTATTATACCACTTTGTCCACTATCCAGTGGCATTTATAGGCTACAGTAAAAAAAATAATTTAAACAAATTAAGAATTCCAAATTGAGAGAATCAGGGAGTGGATTTGGGAGATGACACAATTTTTAAAATTAGATTCAGATCAGGATAACTTGTAAAAAGACATTTGAAAGTATGCTACAGAATGGAGCTGTGATTTGGTGGAGAATCACACTTCAAAGAAAATTAAGACAATTGGGAGAGCAGGTTAATATCATCCGCACAGTTTCTCTTTTATAATAAAGTTTGAGTGGCATAATACTTGCATGTATTAGCACAGGATCATTACAACACATTATCCTGGGGCGGGCAATTAATTTTCCCAAGGGGCCATATGAGAAACTGGGACTATTGTGGAGGGCCACACCAATAGGCTTCCTGTTGCTCTTTGTCGGAGAGTTTGTTGTCTAGAGTTGAGTTCCTTCTTGGTGACTTTGGCTGCTGGAACTAACATTTGGAGGGAGGTGGGAATGTAGAGTCTCACCTCAGCCCAGCCTGGCTCAGCTGCCACGCTTCTGCCACCACCACTTCTCTCCTGCTAGATCCTGGATGTACTCCTCCTGCTTGCCTGCAAGACGGTGGTTGATCGACGAGCCTGTGTCCCCCACCTAAACCATAGTTGCTGTTGTCTCCTAAAGCTGCTCCAAGCAAGGGGTGAGTGCTGCATAGATACAGAAAAGTGCTTTCTCTCCTCCCCCTCCCATGGCTGTCAACTGACTGAAGAAGTGTAGAACTGGACCCGATTCAGTTTCTCCTGCTCCCTGGGGTACAATTATTTACATTTTATTTCTAATTTCTGTCTGACCTCACATGGGCTGGATAGGGACAACCAAAGGGTCAGATATGGCCTGGAGGCTGTAAAATACTCAAGTCTGTATTATCCTATGCTTATTTTAATTTATTTGTACTAGTTTAATTATAATACTTACATTTATTTGTTCAGTTGGAAAGGCTCCAATTCCCACTCTTGTTGTGTAGACTTTTACTACTCCGTAAACTTCTCCAATATACTGAGGAGGAATGCCCAATCCAGTGCATACACCACCGACGGTGCAGTTTGATGATGTCACAAAAGGATATGTGCCTATCAAAAAGCAAAAAAGTAGGTACATCCTGCTTTTTTAAAAAAAGAGTGCTGTTATTTCAAACAGCTGTTCAACACATCACCTTTAAAGATCAGGGAATCACATGAAAATGTGCGGGAGAAACCTGCATAGTCCAGGTTTATCAAGCACATTATGCTCTTCTATATTATTAAACAGCACTTAGCAGTAACACTTAGACTTATATACTGCTTCACAGTGCTTTACAGCCCTCTCTAAGCAGTTACAGAGTCAGCCTAGTGTCTCCAACAATCTGGGTCCTCATTTTACCGACCTCGGAAGGATGGAAGACTGAGTCAACCTTGAGCCAGTGAGAATCGAACTGCCGAACTGCTGGCAGCTAGCACAATTAGCGTGCAGTACTGCATTCTCAAAACTGCACCACCATTGCTCTGTAAATATTGTTACATTTAACATCCATATGCAGGTAGTGCTTACTTATCCACTCAGTAATTGTTCAGAATTATGACAGTGCTCAATGAGGAGACTTACAACTATTCCTCATACTCATTGTGTCCCCCAGGTCCCATGATGACCATTTGGGCACTTGACAAGTAGCTTGCAGTTATGATGGTTGCAGCATCACTGCTGACTTCCAAAAAGCAAAGTCAATGGGGAAGACAGCAAG